TAGTTTCTGAGGGTCTTGAGGGACAGCGGTAGCAGTAGAGTCAGCTGGCTGTGGACGTGCGGCTTGTGCACGGGTGGTCACGAGAACCGGAGGAGAAACTTCATCACTCTCTTGAACCTCTGCTGGAACATACTCAAGAATAGGGTTTATTGGCACAGAGTTACACACCTGGGGTTTGTCCATGACGATCAGGTTGGTCGGTTGCAGGTCTTCTGCCAAGTCGTTGCCTAGGAGAAGTTGCACTCCAGGCATGGGAAAGGGCTTTTCCCTGACGGCGACTTGGACTTCCCCGTTCACGTAGGGACAATCCAGGTGGACTCTGGCGAGAGGGTATGGAGTGGTAGCAGTGAGGTCAGTGATGAAGACTGTTTCCCCGGTGTAGACTATGTTGGGCACAGCCGACTTCAAGATGATCGATTGTAGAGCCGCTGTGTCCCTCAAGATCTTCAATTTGAAACGTCCCTCCGGATTTGAACCGTTGGCAGAGACAGTTCCAGTATACAGGTGGTTACTGAAAAGAGAAAGATCATTAACATCAACACCAACATTCATCACAGGCTTACCGGACTTAGGAGGAGTTGGTTTGGGTCTTTGTGGGTCAGTGGTTCCCTTGTATTGAGACTTACCACACTTGTCTATGGTATGTCCATAGAGTCTACAATACTTGCAGTACAGTTGTGAACCAGCTTGATCGGGGCTCACCTTCTCGTAACTGTACCACGACTTCTTACTGGAGGATGGTTCAGGTGTCAGCCGGTGGATGAGGCTGTAAGTGTCAGCCGACTTAGCACACTTCAGGTAGTCGGTTTCTTCTTTATCTGCTAAGTAGAGGCGGACAGGAGGTGGCACACGTCTCAAGAATTCTTCAACAAGCATCAGGTTGACGAGTTCTGTAAAAGTAGAGACATGTGCTGCTTCCAGCCATTTCATGAAATACCTCCGTTTCGTGTTAGCAAACTCGAGGAAGGTATTGGTACTTGCCTTCAGGTGGTCACGGAATTTCCTTCTATAACTTTCTGTGGAAAGTAGGTAGGCGTCCAACACTGCTTGTTTCAGAGTGTAGTAGTCATTCTCAGACGCCAAAGTACTGAGTGTGACTGCAGCTCTACCTGTAAGATGGACTCTGAGAAGTGTGGCCCATTGGTCGACAGGCCAACTGAGTTGATTAGCAAGGGTTTCAAAGGTGGTGAAAAACACATCAACTTCTGCTTCTACAAAGGATGGCATTAACTTACTTGCATGTGATATATTAAAACTGACGGGAAGATTGGCAGTAGCTTGTTGGCGTTGAGTGAAGTGGGAAGTTTCCAAGGCGATTTCACGTTGACGACACTCTAGAGCCAGAGTTGCTTGTTGCTTGTCATGTTCGCGTTGCATCTCCAACTCACGTCGTTTGGTTTCAAGCTGTACTCGTTCCCGCTCCTGGAGTAGTGCAACCTCACGTTCCTGGAGGGCGAGTCCACGTTCGTGTTCTTCTCTCCTCAAGGCAGCCTCGCGTTCTTGTTCGTCTCTTCTCAAAGCGGCCTCGCGTTCTCTGAGGGTGATTTCTCGTTCTTGTTCTTCCCTCCGTATGGCAGCTGTTCGTTCTTCAATCTTGGCCAGCTCTAGTTTAAGTTTCATCGTTGCCAAGTCAGTTTTCTCTGCAATATAGTAAGTTTCATGAGTTTCAGAGTCTATCTTACCTTGCTCTAAATAGTAATCCAGCAACAGGTTGTGTAGGTCATTTTTGTTGGCTTGGTAGGGAACTTCTAGTTGATACTCATGTGCAAGAGTTTGTAATTCAGTCCTCTTGGCACGACTTAAAGTCCCTATTTCACCTGCTGGATTTGCACGGAAAGTTTGGAGACGAAACATGGTGAAATTAGCAAATAAAGGTACACGAATATTCAATAGTGAAATGTCAGAAACAGGACAACGTGGCAACTGGTACCTATCCTGTGTGATCTTTAACAATTAACGTTAAGTGAAAGATATTAAATGATTAAATTAAATCAAGGGCGCAGGAAATCTTGTACCCGGTACTCATGTAAGAGAATAAGGGCAAGAAAATCCTACTAACAAATGAAACAAAGTTTCGAAAACAAATGAAACAGTTAAATGCTTCAAAAGTAAAATTGGTAGTCCAAGGATGTAGGCATACCTTGCCAAGTCTCTATAGGACATAAAGCAAGTTTTTCCCACTGAATTTAATATGATACTTACAGAATTAGCGAACTTTTGTGCTCTGAAAAAAATAAGCTAATTCCCTACCGTTGTATGTATCATCATCTCTGACTGACGTGTAGGGGTGCGAGGTGTCAACTTGTGACGAGAACTGCTGCTGAGGTCCCAATTCAGCAACTAAAGTTCGAGCTAGAGGAACTATGGCCCTCTTTGTCCTCCTACAGTCAGATTGCAGAAGATTGGGTACTCTTGACCCGGGGACAGACCACAGTACCAGGGTACCAATATGATGATCTGTCAGAATGAGAAATATTCAAGGGACATAGATGGTAAACACGAGTAATAACAAGGAGGGAGAGATGACCAATTAAGAGTATGACTGAGGCCTACAGTCACCACGTAATCCAAAGTTGTCTCACCTTCACTATATGTTACTCTCGTAATGCACAATACACCGCACCTTATAAAAAATGAAATTGAATATGAAAAATAGTAAAGCTACGTTAACAAAGTTAAATACGCTTACCATAAATTACCACTTGGCACCAGTACCTGAGTGAAGCTCCTAGGACAGGCCCCCATATAACTTGTGACGGTAACGCGTTGGTGTTCGGCTGTTTAAGGCTAGGGGTATGGCCTCGTCACATAGTTATAAAAAAAAATAGAAAAACTGGAACTTCGTCTGTGGTAAGGTAAGGAGAAGACACACAAAACACAAGTAAACTTTAACAATGAAATTTTAATTACGTTAATTAAATCAAAACATGAATAAAATGCACAAACAAATTCTTATAATAAAATCAATCACAATAATAAGAATAATTAGATGACACAATGAAAAGTTACGTTAAGGCAAAATAACAAGAAGTGCAATACAAAGTAAATGGGAGGTGTTGGAATATTGGCTTTAAGCCACCACTTCTCTCAGTACACGCTAGCGTCTAGCTGGGAGGAGTGGTGACAACGAGAGCACTGAACATTCTGAGTCTGAGGTTGGTGCGACCCCAGACATCAAGTAGTATGGGGGGGCGAGTGCAGGTGCAGCCAGACCGGCGACCAATCAGCGGAGCCGGTAGCGATCAACATGTAGTTTGGTGGTTTGAGTCCGAACAGGTGGCTGGCTGCATACGTTTTGCTCACCCTGGCAAGCCTTGCTGGTGTTGTTGTTGTTGTTGGACATGTCTTCCATAGTCGTTTTATATAACCACAACGACGTAATTATGGAGGGAAGAGCAGGCTCAATCTCTTGAAGGAGATTATCGTCACAATATATATATATATATATATATATATATATATATATATATATATATATATATATATATATATATATATATATATATATATATATATATATATGTCGTACCTAATAGCCAGAACGCACTTCTCAGCCTACTATTCAAGGCCCGATTTGCCTAATAAGCCAAGTTTTCATGAATTAATGTTTTTTCGTCTACCTAACCTACCTAACCTAACCTAATCTAGCTTTTTTGGCTACTTAACCTAACCTTACCTATAAATATAGGTTAGGTTAGGTTAGGTACGAGGGGGCCTCGAGGGGGCCTCGTAGCCTGGTGGATAGCGCGCAGGACTCGTAATTCTGTGGCGCGGGTTCGATTCCCGCACGAGGCAGAAATTAATGGGCAAAGTTTCTTTCACCCTGAATGCCCCTGTTACCTAGCAGTAAATAGGTACCTGGGAGTTAGTCAGCTGTCACGGGCTGCTTCCTGGGGGTGGAGGCCTGGTCGAGGACCGGGCCGCGGGGACACTAAAAAGCCCCGAAATCATCTCAAGATAACCTCAAGAAGGTAGGGTTGGTTAGGTTCGGTCATATATCTACGTTAATTTTAACTCCAATAAAAAAAAATTGACCTCATACATAGAGAAAAGGGTTGCTTTATCATTTCATAAGAAAAAAACTATAGTAAATATATTAATTCAGGAAAACTTGGCTTATTAGGCAAATCGGGACTTGAATAGTAGGCTGAGAAGTGAGTTCTGGCTACTAGGTACGACATATATATATATATATATATATATATATATATATATATATATATATATATATATATATATATATATATATATATATATATATATATTTATATATATATATATCGTACCTAATAGCCAGAACTCACTATTTGGCCTAATATACAGGCTCTCATCGCAGTAGGCCAAGTTTGCAGAGCTCGTGATTTTTAAGCTTGTTAGACAAGGCCATCTATCTACTTGGACAATTAGGCAATAGATTTTTATTTTTATATATTAGAGAGTAGGGTGTATTTGTGTAGAATCAAGTAAATGTTCGTCAGGAAGACATAGCGGGATGTAGACAGTGTCGACGTCATCAAAGTGATACCTAATAATAACTAAAGGAATAGGCATCATAACATCTTAACCCATCTTACCCCTTGTTTTTTTAATAATAATAATAATAATAATAATAATAATAATAATAATAATAATAATAATAATAATAATAATAATATATTAATATTAATGTATGTAATATTTACATATACTGTATTATTATATATACTTAACAAAAAGAGAATGAGCATATAATTTAAATTGATTGAAGCTTGTTTTTTCAACACTCACGGTTATTAAAGAACATTATAAAAAAAAATTCCATTTATTAGGTATAAAATATTAGAGGGGGGATAGGATATTTTATTATATAATAAGCCATTAACGTATCGTGGTAAAGTAACGGGCAATATGAAAAGAGGCTTTGAAATTTTATAAGTTCTTTAACATTTTAAAACATGTTAATTTATCTGTTGTACTTATTTGTTTCCACATTTGTTTCCTTGATGAATGAAAACATATATTTAAAGATTCACCTGATGATGTCTATTAAGATGATTTTTGATATTAATATATTGGATGAATCCTTTAGCACATTTCGGGCACTTAAAAGGTCTCTCACAAGTATGGATTTTCAAATGATTTTTCAGACTAGTAGGGAAGATGAATCGTTTAGCACATGTAGGACATTTAAAGGGTTTCTCACCAGTATGGATTTTTAGATGATTTTTCAAACTAGTAGGGTAGAGGAATTCTTTAGCACGTCTAGGATATTTAAAGGGTTTCTCACCAGTATGGATTTTTAGATGCTTTTTCAGACTAGTAGAGTAGAGGAATTCTTTAGCACATGTAGAGCACTTAAAAGGTTTCTCACCATTATGGACTTTCTGATGTGTCTTCAAATTATTTTTATCTTTAAAATGTTTACTGCACATAGGACACTTAAAGGGGTTCTTCCCTGTATGTATTACTAAATGTCTAATCAAACTTGATTTAAAACTAAAAATTTTCCCACATGTAGTACACTTGTAAGGTTTTTCGCCGGTATGAACTCTCATATGTATCTTTAAGGTGTATAGCCATTTAATTTTTCGCCACAGGTTGTACATTTAAAGGGTTTCTCACCAATATGGATTTTGAGATGATTTTTCAGACTAGTATGGTAGATGAATCTTTTAGCACATGTAGGACACTTAAAGGGTTTCTCATCATTATGGATTTTCTGATGTGTCTTCAAATTATATTTATCTTTAAAATGTTTACTGCACATTGGACACTTAAAGGGCTTCTTCTCTGTATGTTTTACCAAATGTCTAATTAAACATGATTCAAAACTAAAAATTTCACACAAGTAATACACTTGTAAGGTTTTTCGCCCATATGAACTCTCATATGTATCTTTAAGGAGCGTAGCCCTCTGAATTTTCCCCCACATGTAGTACACTTGTAAGGTTCTTCACCCGTATGAACTCTCATATGTCTCTTTAAGGAGCTTAGCCATCTAAATTTTTCCCCACATGTAGTACACTTGTAAGGTTTTTCGCCCGTATGAACTCTCATATGACTCTTTAAGAAGCATAGCCAGCTAAATTTTTTATTGCAACTTGAACATTCATAATGTTTCTTCTTATTATTTATTTTCGGGGGCCTTTCTTTGTGATGTTGTGGTTGAAATGTTGGTAATGATGTAGTAGACTGTAAAGTTACATTGGACTGTTGTATTTGCTGATGAGAAGAATCTGAAAATGATTGGGGCATTTTTATATAGTACTTTAATGATTACCCCCCCCCCCCCTCTCCATATACAATAAAAAAAAACTAAAAAAAATATGTACAACAGATAAATGAAAATGGTTAACAATGTTTAAGGATTTATAAAATTCCTCAATTACCTCCATTGTTTCATACATGCTCTTCGTTCAATTATTGATGTTATTTACAAACAACTTATTCTGATATCGGATGAGTAAGATTCTTAAAACAATTAAAGTTTAATCAAAATGGATAGAGACATCCTCATATCTCCGACCCCTCTTTCCTTTAGTAAAAATATATATAGTTCTATAATATAATATATATATGTATATTATATATTATAATGTACTATATATATTATAATTTATAATAATAATATATTACAATTCCCTCGATTTTTCATAGATGATCGCATCATTATAAGAAGCAGTTGGGGTCTTGGATAAGCTATTAAGCACATTACAAATAATAATCTACGGTTCGTTTCCATTTGAGATTTCATGAGTTTCTCTAAAAGAAAATACGCGATCGTTTATCTGGCCCACCAGGCGATGATCCCCACCGCACCCTTCAGTAAGTGGGCCTGGCACTTCTTGTGAGCGCCCATCCCTCACTAAAACGACTTGTGAATATAGTGAGTACAAAGCCCTGTGGGACTCCACTGGTGGCTTTACTACGCCAATTGGAGGTCTCACTCATATTGCTAAGACCGTCCCTTATCACTTAGTAGCACCCTACCAGTTTCTTTTACCTGTTTCTTCAACTTATGTACCAGCCTCTGTGTCAAAGGCTTTCCGACAGTCCAAGAAAATGCAGTTCACTCATCCTTTTTCTTGCTTAACTTTTGTCACCTGATCGTGGAATTCTATTAAACCAGTAATTTAAAAAATAAGTGAAATTGTTAAAACAATCTTGAATACTATAACATTCCCAGACGACGGTTCCTCGGATTTAAAAGAACGTATATTCATAAAAACTCTTATTAGCAATTTTGTTGTTATGAATGATGATGATAAAGGAATGATTTTATTTTTGAATAAAATGCTTCATTTGTTAACTATCTCTGATCGATATATTAAATTAATAACCGAAACATATCCTCTTAAAAGTCGGAATCAACAAAAACAAACAATAGCTCATTTAAATACAAAATATAATGAATGCGAGAATGAAAAAAGTGAATTAGAAATTAAATGTAGAAATCAAGATGCCGCAATAACAAATTTAAATACAAACATGAGAAATTTAGAACTTACTATTGAGCAGCTCTCAGAGAAATTAGGAGACCAAGAAAATGAAATAGAGAATTTAAAGAAGGAAAAATCAACTCTTCAAGATAATCAAAATAAATTGAAAAATAGCCTAGAGGATCGAAACAATACTGAATTAATGAAGCTTAGAATCCAATATGATGATGAAAAGAAACAATATGAAACAGAATATGCATTAATGTTAGATGAGAAAAACAGACAAATTCAACATATCTTTGAAGACAAAGACAAACGAATTAAAGACTTAGCTGATGAAAAAGAAAAACTAACCGATTTATTAAATTCAATTAATACTAGAAAATTATCTAAATACGTTACACTCGAGAAGGAACTAAATAGTGCACATGAACAATTAACCATAAGTCGTCAACAACAAGAAGAATTAAAAAGGGAAAATAAATACAAATTTAATGTCTCTTAAGGAATGCCAACTAAAATTAGCCGCATGTGAAAACAATATAAGGAACCAGAATATGCAATTTCTGGAATGCCAACAAGCCCTACATAAATGCAACTATGATAAACAATCAGACCAAGAAGAATATAATAAGCTATTAGTATCCCAAAAAACATTATGTTGAGGAATGCCAACAAAAACTACTAAATTGTGAAAATTCTAAAAAAATAAAGTATGATGAATATAATACATTAGTAAAGAATATAAATGAAGCAAATAAGTATAATATTGAAACATTAGAGCGACTTCATTCTGCTATTTCTTCATTAATGCCAACATTATTATATTATATAATGCCTACATTATCGAATAGCAATATAATTCATTGTTTTTCAAGTATATTACTTTTAGATGATGATGAAACGAAAGCAACAAGAAAATCACAAATTGAAGCAATAATAAATAAGTTCATTCATCAGTTGAATACCGAACGTGATAACTACATTCACGAAGAACGTGAAAAGGACATTCGAGACAAGATTTCCCGTTTAAATTATATTAATAATAATGATCCACACCAAAACATAATATACTTAATATTTTTACAAACGAGGAAGAAAGAAATTTATTTAATCAAATATTAGAAAAATTTTAAACTAATATTATCGATGAAACAGTGTATGAACACGAACGTCAAATAATGCCCTATGTAAATGAAAATGATAATTTAAAACGCAAATTAGACGAACCTAATTATGTTGCTAAATTAATAATAGACGCGGTGGCATCAATAGTTTTAGTTAAAGAAATTATAATAAGACAAATTGTTGACCTGGAAAGAGATCATAAAGGGGCAAATGAGGAAGTTATAAAAGTTTATACATTCGTTACTATTATATATACATTATTCCAGAGAGAAATAAGGCGAGATTTGAATGCAAATAATGTACAACGCTTTTATTACATTACCTTGAACGTGATTCGCAAGTCCCCTTCTGATGATATTTATGAAATACTGGCTTTACAACAACAACAACAGGATTTAATCATTAAGACCTTACAAGACAGAAATGAAACACTAACTTCTAACCTGTTGACCATTCAACAGACAAATGCCAGTCTCCAGGATTCCAACAAACAAATGCTTTCAGAATTAAGTGAGACAAGAATGCATTTGTCGATGATTAACCATGATGAGACTTCGGTGGACTCCATAGAATACGAAGAAACTCAAATGAATAAATTCACTTCGATCATCTGAGCCATCACTACTCAGCTCGATGCTTAATTGACCGGAACATGCAACAATAAGTATTTGAGATCAGCATTCGACAAACTTTCAATAAGATAAATGTTTTGCAGGAATGAAATGGCCAAATCTGAAATGATGCAATTATTTATTTCACTTTCAAATCATATCTTCGAATTTATATTCTGTGCTCAGTTCTATAAGAATCTTGTCACGGTAATGAACGATAATATTCTTCGGCGTTCCATTCAACTAAACCTTCATTTTTCACGAGAAATGTATAACCACCAAGATATACTATCTGAAATATTAAACATACCGATGATAAATGAACTATAGAAATAGCACCCGTTTTCCCGATTCTATACAATATTAGTAAATGAACCCTGATAAATGGTATGTATTCTCTAAGCAACTATGAGGATAATGATCAAATAGTGTCTATCGATAATGAAAAGAAGAATTTAAAATCGATTGCGTTATTGCACGAGGCTAATATGGAAGCAGAAAAATCTTGGTTCCTTAAAATCCTAAAAGTTAAGTACGAAAGTGTATTGGGTGATGACAGCATTTTAAAAGCAATCGCCTCTCAGAAAGTTTCTTCGCCTGAAACTGTTGAGAAAACAACCACATTAAAAAGAGATAAAACAAAATTAAAAGACGCAAAACAAAGGGCAAAAGATAAGACTCAAGGCAGGCGACAAGTCGAGGCATTAACAGAGAAAAAGAATCTAAAGGATAGACATGTAAACATTATAAGGGGAGGAATAGTTGAAAATAAATCAGAGGATGTTGATGGTAAGGAGTCAACTCATTAGAGAAAGGAATTTTGTAAATATAAAAAAAAAAAAAAAATTAAGAGCCGTGGTAGCCTTTAATTCAAAAATAAGTACAGATAATAGTTTATATGGGAACTGTTTTACAAACAAAATCATCACCAATGTTGCCATAGATCATCTCAGGCTGTATGAGTTTTTATTCTTTGGATAATGTTGTTTTAACACTTGAGTGATCTTGTTTTTCCTAGGGATATAACGTTACAGTACATTAATATGTTATAAAAGTTTTTTTTACCCCATTCATCCTATTTTTTCTTTTTTCAAAGATTGACCTGATGTCTTCTTATACTATTCAGACACGTCAATCTAACCCAACCACGGTGTAGAAAGAGACCAACAAATATAAAAGAAACTACTTATACCTAGTGCATAATAATTATATGGCTGGTTCTTAAAGAGGAGCAGACTTATTATTAAAATTATCAAAGCTAAACATAAAATTAATATATCCCATTTGGAACTTGAAATTAAATTTTCCACTTGTATTTCAAATTCTGCCGTTTGAATGGGATAATGTTTATATTTGGCCTCATGAATTATATGGTGACTCATATCAATCACTTTAGGATCTTTCTCGTAAGTTTCAGAATTAAGCTTATGAGTAATTGCTTGGCCCAGACTGTTTACCTCAAACTGATTAAGCAGGTCTAAAATCATCTTGCTTTCCTGTAGATAATTTGTGGTCGTCCCATCCATAGCAATTTTGTTCATTGAGGGTAAAGGCGAATTATTTCACATATTGCAGACAAATATATCATATATGGTGATATTTGCGGGGTGGTTACAGATTGTGGAGGCCCCAGTTTAATATATTGACCCAAATTTATGTCCTGTTCCAACAATTTATGAATCATTTCCTTGCGAATGTTATTTAATGTAGCATGGGTCATTTCTTTATAATACCCTCCAATATTATTGATAGATAAATATAATTCTAATGGTAACAACACTACTCCCACTGATAAAATAGCTGATAATGAAGACGAGACCAGATAAAAGCCGGAGTGAAAATTGAATGCCCATTTCGACCATAGATGATCGAATGATCATCACCAAAAGTTGAACTACCATTTGTTGAGCTGACGCTCCGGCCATCATTACTGACATTACTTCTTGAAGAGCGTCACCGAGGATGTTTTCTGAGAAATATTTCAACAATCTTGAAATGATTTTGGGCACTCTAGTTGTAACTTCAATTTCGGTTATAGTAATGGCTTCATCTTTTAATAATGTTAATAAATCAGAAAATTCAGAGTCTAAATGATTTATTATAACATCCAAAGAATTATAAGTAGTAGTATACTGCTCAATGAATGATACATTTTCAGACAATACCACTACATCTACCTTGTCGACAAATAATTCTTTTTCGAGTATTGACTGTGGA